AATAATAATAATAATAATCTATGTATAATAATAAGTATAATAATATTAAGTATAATAGTAATTATGGAATTATAATAATAAGCATAATAATATTAAGTATAATAGTAATTATGGAAGTATAATAATAAGTATAATAATAATCTCCCATTCACATCCTAACCAGGATTAACCCAATAATAATAATAATAATAATAATAATAATAATAATAATAATGAGCATACTAATAATCTCCTGTTCAAATCCTAACTAGGGTTGACCCAGCTTAGCTTCCAAGATCTGGTGTCATCATTGTAATAAGTATGATAATATATTAAGTATAATAATTAATAATAATAATAAGTAAAATAATAATCTCCCCTTCAAGTTCTAACCAGGGCTGACCCTGCTTAGCTTCCAAGATCGGGTGTAGTGCCATAATAACAATAATAACAAGTATAATAATAATCTCCCATGCAAGTCCTAACCAGGGCTGACCTTGCTAATAATAACAAGTATAATCATCATCATCTTCCATTCAAGTCCTAACTAGAGATGACCTGTTTTGCTTCCAAGGTTAGAAGGATCTGGTGCCATAATAATAATACAAATAATAATATTGTCATCATCATCATCATCTCCCATTCAAGTCCTAACAAGGGATGACCTGTTTAGAAGGATCTGGTGCCATAATAATCATAAGTATTGTTGTTATTCTCATCTCTCATTCAAGTCCTAACCAGAGCTGACCCTGCTTGGCTTCCAAGCTCAGAAGGCTTTGGTTCAATCATAACAACTATAAATAAGTATAATAGTAATCGTAGAACTCAGTCCCGCTGTCCTTGCAGCCAAGCCGGGGGGCCCTGAGGCCTTTCCCGCGAAGGGGACGCTCTCCGTGCAGCGCTGCGACCCCAAGCACAAGGACTGCCTCCTGAGAGAGTTCCGGAAGCTGTGCGCTGCCGTGGCCGAGAAGCCCGGCTACAACGTCAAGACACAGATCGTCCAGGACTTCCTGCAAAAGGGCGCCACTGGAGGTAGGGAGGGGGCCTCGGATTCAAAGGCCCATCGTCCTGTGGGGTGCAAATGATGGAGGTTGCAGCCTTTGGGAGATCAGCATCCCACATAGACCTTTCCCTCTCTTCTTTCTTCCCTTTCTCTTCCTTCTATCCTTCCATTCTCATCCCTTCTTTCATCCCTTCCCTTCCTCCTTTATTTTCCCTCACACACATTCTCCTCTTTTTTCCCTCTTTTCTTTCTCTTCCTTCATTTCTTTTCCCCTATTTCCTCCCTTATTTTCTTTTCCTTCCTTCCAACTGTCCCTTATTTTTCCTTATTCACCTTCTCCCCTTCCTTCCATCTTTCTTTTTTTTCCTTCTTTCTCCTTCCTCCTCCCCTCTTCCTTCTTTTCCTTCCTCCTCCCTCCTTTCTTCTCTTCCCTTCTTTTTCTCCTTCCCTTCTCTCCTCCTCTTCTTTCCTTTCTCTTCCTTCTTTCCTTCCTTCCTTCCTTCCGTGTTTTCCCTTATGCAATTTACCCCAACCCTCTTCTTCTTTCCCTTCTCTTTTTCTCCTTCCTTCGTTCGCTTATTTTCCCTCATTTACCATCCTACCTTTTCTTTCTTTCTTTCTTTCTTTCTTTCCTTCTTTCTTTCTTTCTTTCTTTCTTTCTTTCCTCCTCCCTCCCTCCCTCCCTTCTTTCCTTTCTCTTCCCTTCTTTTCTTTCTTTCTTTTTTTCTTTTTGTCTTCTCCTCCTCCCTTCCCTCCTCCCTTCTTTCCTTTCTCTTCCTTCCCTTCTTTTCTTTCTTTCTTTCTTTCTTTCTCCTTCTTCTTCTTCTTCCTTCTTCTCTCCCTCTCTTCTCTCCTTCTTTCCCTCCTTCCCTCCCTCCTTCCTTCCTTCCTTCCTTCCTTCCTTCCTTCCTTCCTTCCTTCCTTCCCTTCCTGTGTTTTCCCTTATGCAACTTACCCCAACCCTCTTCTTCTTTCCCTTCTCTTTTTCTCCTTCCTTCGTTCGCTTATTTTCACTCATTTACCATCCTACCTTTTCTTTCTTTCTTTCTTTCCTCCTCCCTCCCTCCCTCCCTTCTTTCCTTTCTCTTCCCTTCTTTTCTTTCTTTCTTTCTTTCTTTCTTTCCTTCTCTTCTCTCACACATCTCTTACTCTTCTTTCTTTTCTTTCCCTCCCTCCCTTCCTTCCTTCTTTCCTTCCTTCCTGTGTTTTCCCTTATGCAACTTCCCCCTTCCCTCCCTTCTTTTCTCCTTCCTTCCTTCCTTCCTTCCTTCCTTCCTTCCTGTGTTTTCCCTTATGCAACTTACCCCAACCCTCTTCTTCTTTCCCTTCTCTTTTTCTCCTTCCTTCGTTCGCTTATTTTCACTCATTTACCATCCTACCTTTTCTTTCTTTCTTTCTTTCCTCCTCCCTCCCTCCCTCCCTTCTTTCCTTTCTCTTCCCTTCTTTTCTTTTTCTTTCTTTCTTTCTTTCTTTCCTTCTCTTCTCTACACATCTCTTACTCTTCTTTCTTTCTTCCTCCCTCCTCCCTCCCTTCCTTCTTCTTTTCCTTCCTTCCGTTTTCCCTTATGCAACTTCCCCCTTCCCTCCCTTCTTTTCTCCTTCCTTCCTTCCTTCCTTCCTTCCTTTGCCTATTCATCTCTTTTTTTCTCTTTGTGGGATCAGCAGCCTCACAGCATCCTTTCTCCCAAAATATTTCAGGCTAGAAGTTTTTTAAAAAAAATGGGGGAAAGGTCCTTTTGTGGGGGGAGGTTGCAAGTCCTATAGTCCCCAAAAGAACTCCCACAATCCCCAAAGAAAGCTGTGCAACTCCCAGAATCCTTAAGAAAAAGCCAATCCCCCAATGGACGCCCACGGACAGGTGACTCAGAGGCCCCATTCCTCCAAATGGCAAGGAAAGGGAGGCCTTGGAGGGCTGTGCTGGATGCTGGGAGTGGCAGTCTTTTTCTCCTTCTTCCCAGAGGGCTTCCGGGGGGACCTCTACCTGACAGTGAAGCTGCTCCTACCCGGCGTCATCAAGAGCGTCTACAACCTCAACGACAAGCAGATCGTCAAGCTCTTCAGCCGCATCTTCTCCTGCAGCCAGGAGGACATGGTCCGCGACCTGGAGCAGGTGATGCGTGGGCCTTGCAGTCCCTTTTCGCATTGGGGCTAAGCAGAGACAGGCCTTGTTAAGCCTTGGATGGGAGACCCTAGTGCTGTTGGCTATATTTTGTAGGAAGGAGCTGGCCAAACAACCTCTATGGAAGAGCTTTCCCAACATTTCATGTTGGGGCCACATCCATCAATCTGCCTGCCATCCATAAGTCTAGCTACCATCCATCCGTCAGTCTATCTTCTAAGTCTCTCATCCATCTCTCTATCATCCATCCATTTCTAATGTCTGTCTATCTATCATCCAATCAATCATTTCTAATGTCCATCATCCATCTATCTGTCTATCATGCATCCAACCATTTCTAATGTCTATCTATTATCTATCTGTCTCATCCATCCATCCATTTATAATGTCTATCATCCATCTATCTGTCTGTCTATCATCCATCCAACCATTTCTAATGTCCATCATCCATCCATCTATCTGTGTATCACCCATCCAACCATTTATAATGTCTATCATCCATCTGTCTATCATCCATCCAACCATTTCTAATGTCCATCATCCATCTATATATCTGTCTATCATCTATCCATCCATTTATAATGTCTATCATCCATCTATATATCTGTCTATCATCCATCCAACCATTTCTAATGTCCATCATCTATCTGTCTATCATCCATCCATCCATTTATAATGTCTATCATCCATCCATCTGTCTATCATCCATTCAACCATTTATAGTGTCTATATATCTGTCTATCATCCATCCATACATTCATCCATCCATAATGTCTATCATCCAACTATCTATCCGTCTACCATCCATCTATCAATTTCTAATGTCTATCATCCATCTATCTATCTGTCTATCATCCATCCATCCATTTATAATGCCTTTTATTTATTTATTTGTCTGTCTGTCAGCTTTCCATTTATAATCAGTCCATAATCCATCTATCTGTCTATTTTCCATCTATTTATAATCAATCACCCATCCGTCCTTTCATCCATCCGTCATCCATCACCCTGTCTGCCATCCATCCGTCACTCTTTATCCTTCATCTATTCACCCATCTATCATCCTCCATCCATCAGTTTGTCTATCACCCATCTATCCATCCAACCATCACATTATAACCAGTCTTATCATCCATCTATCTGTCTATCTATCTATCTGTCTGTTCCATCCATCCATAATCAAGTCTTACCATCTATCTGTCATCCATGCAGTCTATCATGCATCCATCCATCTGTCTATCCATCCATCCTTCTTTCATCCATCAATCTATCATGCATCAATCACTCTTCCTCCATCATCCTTCATCTAGTCATCCATCTATCATGCATTCTCCATCCGTCTGTCACCCATCCATCTATCAATTTATAAATAATCTTATCTTCCATCTGTCACCCATCCATTGTTATTGTGATTGTGCTTATTGGAATGTTATTTTATGGCTATGTTTATAATTTTTTCCTTTATGTAATTTTGATGATGTTGTTTATTGTTTATGTTCTGGTTTTATATTGTTGTAATATGTTGTCCAGGCTTGGCCCCATGTATGCCGCTCCGAAGATTGGGGAGATGGTAGCGGGGTATAAATAAAGATGATGATGATGATTATTATTATCCATCCATCAGTCTATCATCCATCCATCCATCAGTCTGTCTATCATCCATTCCTCACTCTTCCTCCATTATCCTTCATCCTTCTATCATGCATCCTCCATACATTATCTCTCCTTCCTCCATCCATCCAGCCTTCATCAGTCTGTCTGTCTATCATCCTCCCATCCATCTATCATCCTCCCATCCATCTATATATACCTGTAATCCAGAGCTTACCAAATGTAGCATGTTGATGACCCATCTACTTATGTATCTATTGTCCAGCTGTCTATCATTCATCCTTCAGCTATCTATTATCTATCATCCACCCATCCAGAGCTTTCCAAACATTTCATGTTGGTGACACATTCATCTCTCATCATCCATCCATTTATTATCCATCTGTCTACCATCTTGGGCTGACAATGCCCCAGCCACCCTCTCCATGGCCCCATCCGCTTTGAATAAACCTGCCACTGTGTCTTGCAGCAGTGAGTTCCTTAATTCAGGCCTCGAATTGCTCGCCATTTTGCATCCCAGTGAGGCTGGAGGAATTGAGCGTCTTTCCTCCAGGGTTTCACGCATAACGAACTCTCTTGACAGGGAGACGTCTCCGAAACGGTGCGCCTCTTCTTTGAGCGGAGCCGGTCCTTCCCGCCGGCGGCCAAGAGCCTGCTGACCATCCAGGAAGTGGACACTGCCTTGACCCGCCTCTCCAGCCTCACCAAGGAGGACGAGCAGCAGGCCTTGCTGCAAGAAGTCGCCAGCAGGTCAGGGCGGGATAGAATCATAATAGTAATAATAATAATCTCAATAATAATAATAATTTTGCATTATTTTTGTTATTTTTTATTTGTATTTTGTTATTATGTATTATTCTTATATATTATTTGTTGTACTCCAGAACAGAAACGATACCCTCTGACTTTAAAACACACCACACGTTGAGTGAAAAACCAATCCTTTTTATTGAAGCTGAGTAAAATAGCCAGTAGAAAGAAATGCTTGTAAAAATAGGAAAATTTCAAAATGTAAAAGATCAGTAAAATGCAGTAATTCAAAGCAATGTCCACAAAAGATATAAAAACAATCCAAGGCAGTATTTATCCAGACAGGAATCAACAGGTTGCAAAGATAATCCAGACTGTGAGAGCCGTTCAGCAGTGGAACTCCCTGCCCTGGAGTGTGGTGGAGGCTCTTTCTTTGGAAGCTTTTAAACAGAGACTGGATGGCCATCTGTCAGGGGTGCTTTGAATGCAATATTCCTGCTTCTTGGCAGGGGGTTGGACTGGATGGCCCAGTCAAGACCCCTTGAACAGGATTTCCAAGGCACATGAACATGATTTCCAAACGATGCCTGATCTAACAGGCTTTCCCTTGAAGCAAACCTTATATCCCAAAGCCCAAAAATTGGTTTCGTTTTCCCCCACTCTTGCTTCCTATCTGATGAAGCCTTTTGGAGTGACATAAACATTCAGTTTGTTGTCAATCCTGGCTGAACTCTAGCTGCCTATTTTTCAACTCCCTTCCTGGCTGCTCATTAAAATTTCCAAGTGTCAGATTGTTTTCCAAACTCAAATCTTGAGAGCTCACAAACTTGAGCAAACTCAAATCTTGAGTCGCCTTCGGGCTGAGAAAAGTGATATATAAATATGGTAAGTAAATACATGCTAATCAAGGTGGCCAATTACTACATTCACACCTATCTCCCACCCTGGACATTATTCCACAGGTATATAAACCCCATTTGCCTAGTTTCCACCAGACCTCACAACAATTGAGGATGCCTGCCATAGATGTGGGTGAAACGTCAGGAGAGAATGCTTCTGGGACATGGCCAGACAGCCCGGAAAACACACAACAGCCCATTTTGTATTTTTATTATTATTATTATTATTTGTATTTTTATTTCTTATTTAATAATAATAATAATAATAATAATAATAATAATAATAGTCTTTATTTATATCCCACCACATCTCTCTGAAAGGTTTCAGGGTGGCTTACAGCATGAATAAATACAATGAGGAATATATACAAAATAAATAACAAATGAGTGTAAAAGGGAAAGCAAAACAAAACTATTATTATTATTATTATTATTATTATTATTATTATTATTATTGTTTCCACCATAGACTCAACTGGAGAACCAAGACAATTGGCTAGAAGTGGAGCTGTTTTGCATCTTGCGCTATCTTGTGGTTATTCCCCCTCACTGGCCTGTCTCTTTTGCTTCTCAGGTGCACGGCCAACGACTTGAAGTGCATCATCCGGCTCATTAAGCATGACTTGAAGATGAACGCTGGGGCCAAGCACATGTGAGTTGGTGCCCAGGACAGATATAGAGATTGCCCAAGGTTTGAAGACACCAGGCAAATTTAGATGAGTCACACTCTCTCGTCTTATTGGAAGCTTGGGATCTTCTTCCATTAATGATAAATACAGGAATAATAATAATAATAATAATAATAATAATAATAATACATCACACAGTCCTAAACACTTGGGAAGTGTTCGACTTGTGGTTTTATTATATGAAATCCAGCATATATCTCTCGTTTGCTGTGTCATAATATGTTTTGTATCAGTAAAATAATAATAATAATATAAAAGAAGATCCCAAGTTTGATATGTTAATCGGCTGTTAATGAGAATAATAACAATATCGTATCAGAAGCAAATTGAGGGCACAGTTGTAATGTATTTAAAAACACAAAGGTTTAAAAACTTGGCATTATATTAAATGTCTTTTGACCAAAAACTGGCCACTTGGAGTGACTGGTGTTGCTATAAGAAGGTCCTCCATTGTGCATGTGGCAGGGCTCAGGTTGCATTGCAGTAGGTGGTCAGTGGTTTGCTCTTCTCCACACTCGCATGTCGTGGATTCCACTTTGTAGCCCCATTTCTTAAGGTTGGCTCTGCATCTCGTGGTGCCAGACAGCAGTCTGTTCAGCGCCTTCCAAGTCGCCCAGTTTTCTGTGTGCCCAGGGGGGAGTCTCTCATTTGGTATCAGCCATTGGTTGAGGTTCTGGGTTTGAGCCTGCCACTTTTGGACTCTCGCTTGCTGAGGTGTTCCAGCGAGTGTATCTGTAGATCTTAGAAAACTATTTCTAGATTTAAGTCATTGACGTGCTGGCTGATACCCAAACAAGGGATGAGCTAGAGATGTCTCTGCCTTGGTCCTTTCACTATTGGCTGCTACTTCCCGGCGGATGTCAGGTGGTGCAATACGGCTAAGCAGTGTAATTTCTCCAGTGGTGTAGGGGCGCAGACACACCGTGATAATGCGGCATGTCTCATTAAGAGCCACATCCACTGTTTTAGCGTGGTGAGATGTGTTCCACACTGGGCATGCATACTCAGCAGCAGAGTAGCATAGTGCAAGGACAGATGTCTTCACTGTGTCTGGTTGTGATCCCCAGGTTGTGCCAGTCAGCTTTCGTATGATATTGTTTCTAGCGCTCACTTTTTGCTTGATGTTCAGGCAGTGCTTCTTGTAGGTCAGAGCACGGTCCAGAGTGACTCCCAGGTATTTGGGTGCGCTGCAATGCTCCAGTGGGATTCCTTCCAGGTAATCCTCAGAGCTCGGGATGCTTGTCTATTCTTAAGGTGAAAGCACATGTCTGTGTTTTAGATGGATTAGGGATCAGTTGGTTTTCCCTGTAATAGGCAGTAAGAGCACCTAGAGCTTTGGAAAGCTGTTCAACCATCTCAAAGCTCCCTGCTTGAGCGGTGATGGCACGATCATCAGCATAGATGAAACTCTCTGTCCCTTCTGGCAGTGGCTGGTCATTTGTGTAGATGTTGAACATGGATGGAGCAAGCACGCTCCCCTGAGGCAGGCCGTTCTTCTGTTTCCACCATCTGCTTCTCTGACCCTGGAACTCAACAAAAAAGCTCCTGTTTTGTAGCAGGTTTCCTATGAAGCGGGTGAGGTAGTCGTCCTTTGTGATATTATACATTTTTCTCAGGAGATGATAATAATTTTTTTCGTGTCAGGAGCGATTTAAGAAACTGCAAGTCGCTTCTGGTGTGAGAGAATTGGCCGTCTGCAAGGACGTTGCCCAGGGGACGCCAGGATGTTTTGATGTTTTTCCTAATAGTAATAATAGATGAAGAAGATGCCAAATTTGACATGAATTAATATGCCTGTTAATGGACTGCTAAGAAGAATAGCAATACTATTATTACTTAATAATAATAATAGAAGAAGAAGATCCCAAGGTTGATATGAATATGTCTGTTCATAATAATAATAATAATAATAATAATAATAATAATAATAATTTGACTCACTGCATTGTTGGATTATCAAATGTCTAGATGTCATCAGGGTTTGTGAAAATATTAGAAAGTTCATTGAAAATGCAATGAAACAATGGAAAACTGAGTTGTTTGTGGACAACGAAAGCTATGGAACTGTTAACATGTGGACTCATGTTGTTGTGTTTCAAATAATAATAATAATAGAAGAAGATCCCAAGTGCGATACGTTGCTCAACTGTGAATGTGAATAGTATTGCTTCCTCTCTCCCTCTTTTAAGCCTCCTTTTTCGTTCCCTCTTTCTTTCCTCCCTCCCTCCCACAGCCTGGACGCCTTGGACCCCAATGCGTTTGAGGCCTTCAAGGCATCTCGCGACTTGTCGGACGTGGTGGAGCGCGTGCTGCGCAATCAGACGGAGGCCCAAGGGGCCCCGGGGACCCAGCGGACCCTCAGCGTCCAGGCCACCCTCATGACCCCCGTCCAGCCCATGCTGGTAGGAAGACCAGGGTGAATGGGAGGGAAGACAACAGATGCTGGGCTTTGTGATCCGCACACGTTGGCTTGCATGGCTCTTTTTGATGTTTCCTCCCCCCTCTCCAGGCCGAGGCCTGCAAGTCCATTGCCCAGGCCATGAAGAAGTGCCCCAACGGGATGCTGGCTGAGATCAAGTATGACGGGGAGCGGGTCCAGGTCCACAAGAAAGGGGACCGCTTCCGCTACTTCAGCCGCAGCCTCAAGCCTGTCCTCCCACACAAGGTGGGCACTGCATTCGGGGACATTGAGGGCCATTGGGAGCTATGGAGGGCCATTGAGCATTGGGGATCATTGAACTTTGGGAGCCATTGAGAGTCATTGGCCTCAAGCCCGTCCTGCTTCACAAGGTGGGCAGCGCATTCAGGGACATTGAGGGCCATTGGGAGACATTAAGGAACACTGAGAGACATTGGGGTTCATTGGGGGATATTGAGGGCCATGGGAGAGCATTGAGAGCAATTGGGCCACGGAAGATTATTGAGAGCCATTGGCGACCATTGAGCATTGGGTACCATTGAGGAACATTCCATTGAGAGTCATTGGAAGCCATCAAAGAGCATTGAGAACCATTGGGGGCCATTGACAGCCATCAGGGGCCATTGCAGAGCATTGAGAGCCATTAAAGTCCACTGAGAGCTATTGAGAGCCATCAGGGGCCATTGGAGGCCATTGAAGAGCATTGAGAGCCATTAGGGTCCATTGAGAGACATTGGGAGCCATTGAAGATCATTGAGAGCCATTGGGGGGCATTGAGAGTCATTGGAAGCCATCAAAGAACATTGGGAGCCATAAGGGGCCATTGAAGAGCATTGAGAGCCATTGGGGGCGATTGAGAGCCATAAGGGACTGTTGAGCATTGAGAGCCATTGGGGGCGATTGAGAGCCATCAGGGGTCATCAAAGAGCCTTGAGAGCCATTGGGGGCCATTGAGAGCCATCAGGGGCCATCAAAGAGCATTGAGAGTCATTGGGGGCAATTGAGAGACATCAGGGGCCATTGAGAGTCATTGGGAGCGATTGAGAGCCATCAGGGGCCATCAAAGAGCCTTGAGAGCCATTGGGGGCGTTTGAGAGACATCAGGGGCCATTGGGAGTCATTGGGAGCGATTGAGAGCCATCAGGGGCCATCAAAGAGCCTTGAGAGCCATTGGGGCCATTGAGGGCCATCAGGGGCCATCAAAGAGCATTGAGAGCCATTGGGGGCGATTGAGAGACATCAGGGGCCATCAAAGAGCATTGAGAGTCATTGAATGTGATTGAGAGCCATCAGGGGCCATCAAAGAACATTGAGAGCCATTGGGTGCGATTGAGAGCCATCAGGGGCCATCAAAGAGCATTGGGAGCCATCAGGGGCCATCAAAGAGCACTGAGAGCCATTGGGGGCCATTGAGAACCATCAGGGGCCATTGAAGAGCATTGAGAGCCTTTGGGGGCCATTGGGAGCCATCAGGGACCATTGAAGAGTATTGAGGGCCATTGAGAGTCATTGGAAGCAATTGAGAGTCATTGGAAGCCATTGAAGACCATTGAGAACCATTGGGGGCCATTGAGGGTCATTGGCCGCCATTGAAGAGCATGGTTGTGTGTCCGCTCCTCCTTCCCTGCCTCTCCCGGCTTGCAGGTGGCGCACTTCCAGGAGTTTATCCCGCGGGCCTTCCCAGGCGGCCACAGCATGATCCTGGACTCCGAGGTCCTGCTCATTGACACCCGGACTGGGAAGCCTCTCCCCTTTGGTACCCTCGGCGTGCACAAGGTAGGCCCCCACACATCCCACAACACAGCCATCAGCATCATCACCATCATCTTTGCATTGATCCAGCAGCATAGTGACCCTCAAGTGTCTCAAGGCTCCTGCCACTCCCCAGATTTTTATTATTATTATTATTGTTATTATTATTATTATTATGGCATCTACCCATCCCCATGGGTATCTATTATTATTATTATTATTATTATTATTATTATTATTATTATTATGGCATCCACCCATCCCCATGAGTATCTACTGTATTATATTATCATCATTATTAATATAATAATAATAATTCTATCATCTACTAATCCCATGAGTGCCTACATTATTGCTGTTGTTGTTGTTATGGCATAAGCATGGGAAATCCTTTGGTTCTAAATGGTTCTAAAGTACTTACAAAACTAGAGGGCGCTGGTGCTTTTCTTCTAAAGTGTTGCTAAAGTTCTGGTGATGAAAATTTCAGAACTCTTAACAAAACTTTCAATCTGAAAATTTCAGAACTCTAACAAAACTTTCACACCTAATTGGTTCTGTCATAAAAATTGCCAATAATAATGAAATTTTGAAAGTTTTGTTAGAGTTCGGAAATTTTCACCACCAGAACTTTAGCAACACTTTAGAAGCAAAGCACCAGTGCCCTCTAGTTTTGTAAGTACTTTAGAACCATGGATTGCCCATGCTTAGTACCTACCAATCCCCCTGGTGCAGCAGGTTAAACTTCTGAACTTGCTGACCAAAAGGTTAGTGGTTCGATCTGGGGAGCAGGGTGAGCTCCTGCTGTTAGCCCCAGCTTCTGCCAACCTAGCAGTTTGAAAACATGCAAATGTGAGTAGATCAATAGGTACTGCTTCTGCGGGAAGGTAACGGCGCTCCTTCCTACAAGGCTGCCTTTCTTTCCCAGTGACGTCACAGAAAGCCACTCCACCTAGCACATATGTATATGTGTGTGTATTAGAAAGATTATTATTTACCCTTTTCCTTTTGCAGAAAGCTGCCTTTCAAGATGCCAACGTCTGCCTCTTTGTCTTCGACTGCATCTTCTTCAATGATGTCAGCTTGATGGACAGGTGGGTGGGACAATTATTATTATTATTATTATTATTAAATAATTATGACCCACTTTCCTCTCTTAAACGAGGCGGAAAGTGATATTAAAATCCATGCAACTGAATACCTACAACCTAGAAATATTAAAACAGAATTAACAGAAATATTAAATATTAAAACAATATAAAAATATTAAAACAGAAATATTAAAAAATATTAAAACAAATATTAATATTAAAACAAAAATATTAAAACAGAAACAAAGAACTGTTCAAGTCAAATGCTGTTAAAATGCATAAAATCTATACACATAAAAGTGAAAACTGTGTATGTGTGTTTGTGGCAGAGGTGTCCACTTAGACAACCTCCCTCCTCCACAAACAGACCATAGTTCCAAGTGCTGAGACGCTTCCAAAGGCACTCCCTCCAATGACATTGCAGCTTATAGCGAGCGCTGTGAAAATGCAACCCAATCCCTGCCAATTTCCTCCCCAAACACTATGGCCTACCACCCAAGGAATGTTTTCATTTGGGGAAAATTTCATCCTAGATTTGACGTGTTTCCTCCTCCACAGGCAGGCATCCCAGGGTTCCTTTCTCGCTCAATTGGTGTGGAATTTGCATGACCCCACCCACTGCCTCTCCCTTAACCCTTTCCTACTCTTTTCAATGGCACACAGTAAACAGAGGAATTGGTCAGCAACTGAACATACTAGAGAGGTTTGGGGAGAGTTCACCATGATTTATATGACATCACAAGAAAACATACTGGCGGTCTTTGGAGGGATTTATAGGAGTTGTAGTTCACCTACAATGCCGGGTACCTAAGATAATAGGTATATAAAAAGAAATAAATGTTAAAATATTAGTACTACTACTACTAATAATAATAATTGCCTTGAGCCATGCGGAGAGGTGGGTAAGAAATAACATTATTATTAAATCAATGTTGATCCTTGGTCGCTTACCCTCCTTCCTTCTAATTTCCTATCAAATGAATCTATTTCTATGTATTTCCCTGTGTTTTATTTTTCTCCTGGCCTTCCAGGCCTTTGCAAGAGCGACGCAAGTTCCTCCACAACAACATGGTGGAGATCCCCAACCGGATCCTCTTTTCCGAGATGAAGCACGTCACGGTGGGTTTTATATGTATAGATAATACATACATAAGAAAGGGATCTAGGAGCCTTCGTGGACCACAAGCTGGACTTGAGCCAAGAGTGTGAGGCTGCAGTGGAAGCATCATCATCATTATCATTAGTAGTAGTAGTAGTAGTAGTAGTAGGGTTGGACTGGATGGCCTTTGAAGTTTCCTTTCCAGCTGTAGGGTATTATTATTATTATTAGGATTGGACTAGATGTCCTTTGAGGTTTCCTTCCAGCTCTAGGATTCTATTATTATTATTATTATTACTACTACTACTACTACTACTACTACTACTATTAAGGTTGACTGGATGTCCTTTGGGGTACCTTTCCAGCTCTAAGATTCTATTATTATTATCACTATTATTATTAGGGTTGTACTGTATGTCCTTTGAGGTTCCCTTCAGCTCTATATTATTATTATTATTATTATTATTATTATTATTATTAGGGTTGGAATGGATGTCCTTTGAGGTTCTCTTCCAGCTCTAGAATATTATTATTAAATAATAATAATAATAAGGGTTGGACTGGATGTCCTTTGAGGTTCCCTTCCAGCTCTAGGATATTGTTGTTGTTGTTATTATTATTATTATTATTATTATTATTAGTTGGACTGGATGTCTTTTGAGGTTCCCTTCCAGCTCTAGGATGCTATTATCATCATCATCATCATCATCATCATTATTAGGATTGGATGGGATGTCCTTTGAGCCTCTCTTCCAGCTCTAGGATATTATTATTAATAATAATAATAATAATAATAATAATAATAATAAGGGTTGGACTGGATGTCCTTTGAGGTTCCCTTCAAGCTCTAGAATATTATTATTATTATTATTATTATTATTATTATTATTAGGGTTGGAATGGATGTCCTTTGAGGTTCTCTTCCAGCTCTAGAATATTATTATTAAATAATAATAATAATAATAATAATAAGGGTTGGACTGGATGTCCTTTGAGGTTCCCTTCCAGCTCTAGGATATTATTATTGTTGTTGTTGTTGTTGTTATTATTATTATTATTATTATTATTATTATTAGTTGACTGTGTCTCTAAAGTCCCAGGTTCCCTTCAAGCTCTAGAATATTATTATTATTATTATTATTATTATTATTATTATTAGTTGGACTGGATGTCTTTTGAGGTTCCCTTCCAGCTCTAGGATGCTATTATCATCATCATCATCATCATCATCATTATTAGGATTGGATGGGATGTCCTTTGAGCCTCTCTTCCAGCTCTAGGATATTATTATTAAATAATAATAATAATAATAATAATAATAAGGGTTGGACTGGATGTCCTTTGAGGTTCCCTTCAAGCTCTAGAATATTATTATTATTATTATTATTATTATTATTATTATTAGTTGGACTGGATGTCTTTTGAGGTTCCCTTCCAGCTCTAGGATGCTATTATCATCATCATCATCATCATTATTAGGATTGGATGGGATGTCCTTTGAGCCTCTCTTCCAGCTCTAGGATATTATTATTAAATAATAATAATAATAATAATAATAATAATAATAATAATAATAAGGGTTGGACTGGATGTCCTTTGAGCCTCTCTTCCAGCTCTAGGATATTATTATTAAATTGTTATTATTACTATTATTATTATTATTATTATTAGGGTTGGGCTGGGCATTAATCAGACATTTTCCTTTTCCCATCAGAAAGCCTCTGATTTAGCCGACATGATCAACCGAGTCATTCGGGAAGGTCTGGAGGGATTGGTGCTGAAAGACCTGAAGGTAAGCCTATTGAACAAGCTCTCTTAATTCATCTTTCACTGTATGCATGCCAAGTTTGGTCCAGATCCATCGTTGTTTGGGTTTATAGTGCGCTCTGGATGTAGGTGAACTACAACTCCTCTAAATCCCTCCAAAGACCGTGGTTGGTCATGGGGGTTCTGTGTGCCAAGTTAGTTCCAGGTCCATCGTTGGTGGAGTTCAGAGTGCAGTTCTTAGATTGCAGGTGAACTATACATCCCAGGACCTACAACTCCTATAAATCATGGTGAATTCTCCCCAAACCTCTCTAGTATGTTCAGTTGCTGATCAATTCCTCTGTTTGCTGTGTGCCATAGAAAAGAATAGGAAAGGGTTAAGGGAGAGGCAGTGGGCGGGGTCATGCAAATTCCACACCAATGGAGAGAGTAAGAAACACTGGGATGTCTGTGGTGGAGGAAACACATAAAATCTAGGATGAAATTATCTCCATATGAAAGCCTTCACTTGGGTGGTGGGCAGTATGGTGTTTGTGGAGGACGTTGGCAAGTTGATGGAGCTCTCTATAACTTGCAGTATCATTGTAGGGAGGGCCATTGGTGTCTCCTTAGTGGTGGGAACTATACCTAGTGGACACCCCAGGCACATACACACATACATATTTTCTATTTTCCTTTTATTATGTGTATAGATATAAGATATATTATTATTATTATTATTATTATTATTATTATTATTATTAGATGCATAGATGCAACCCTGCTCTGCCAGGAAGGAAAGATAGAATTACTGTTATATTATTATCCTTTATCATTATTATATGTTGTTATTAGACTCTTAGAATTAGTATTTATTATTATTATTTAAAACACAACAAGATGAGTCCACAGCAAATAAAATCACTTTGCTGGCTGTTGTATTGGATCACACGTCTGGACACTTCCCAAGTGTCTAAGACTGTGTGATGTATCGACAATAATGCATGCAGATCCAGTAAGGTGGCTTTCTGCAGCTGGCAGATGGTAATTTTGTCAGCGCCAATTGTGTTTAAGTGCTGGGCCAAGGTCTTTAGGCACTGCACCCAGTGTGCCGATTACCACTGGGACCACTTTTAATGGCTTCTGCCAGAGTTGTTGTTGTTGTTATTATTATTATTATTATTATTATTATTATTATTATTATTAGATGCATAGAGTTGGAAGGGACCCCAAAGGCCATTCAGTCCAATCCTGTTCTGCCAGAAAGGAAAGATAGAATTACTATTATACTATCATCCTTTATTATTATTATATGTTGTTATTAGACGCTTGAAATTACTATTTATTATTATTATTATTATTACTATTATTATTACTAGCCATCCCCTGCCAGGCGTCGCTGTGGCCTAGTCTGGTGATCTGGAAAATAAAGTAATGAGAAAGTGTTGATTTATAATATATGTCATGTCTTTATGCTTGAGGGTAAACAGTATTTCTTGCTGTTTCTTTGTTGATGTGGAGAGTGTCTGGTTTGCCTACTCTGGAACATGCAACATATAATTGTCCTTTATTTATTTATTTCCTATATTTATACCCCGCCCTTCTTCCCCCGAAGGGAGGTATAGTATAGTACAATATAGTAATATATAATATTGATATTGTACTATGCTAATAATAGAATATATTCATTAGGGATCCCTTTCAAGTCTATGATACTATATCAATGTGTGTGAGCGATTCATATCTATCTGTCTATATTTATGACTGGATGGCTCTCTGTCAGGAGGGCTTTGATTACGTTTTCTTGCCCTGGTGAAGGGAGTTGGACTGGATGGCCTTAAGTATTTTCTATTGGTTTGTGGGAAGTTTGCCTCAATTCTGTCATTGGTGGGGTTCAGAATGCTCTTTGATTGTAGGTGAACTATTTATTTATTTATTTATTTACAGTTCTTATATTCCGCCCTTCTCACCCCGCAGGGGACTCAGGGCGGATTACAGTAAACACATATATGGCAAACATTCAATGCCAGTTTGACAAACAACATTTAACACACAAATACACCGAGGCTATTTAACTTTTTTTCTGGCCGCCAGGGGAGCTGCTGCTTTTCATCGTCCATCAACGACACCGATGAAGTTCTTCCGCATTCCACATTCCCCGGAGTCTTTTTCTTTATGGCCTCATAAATTAGTTAAATTTAGCCTCCCACACAAGGTGGTCCCTTATTTTCCTACTTGACAGATGCAACTGTCTTTCGGGTTGCAAAGGTCGACAACGGGCTACACAATGGCTGGACACCCACTCCAGCCCGGGCTGGCTTCGAACTCATGACCTTTTGGTCAGAGTGATCTTAATGCAGCTGACACTCAGCCAGCTGCGCCACAATCCCGGTGAACTATAAATCCCAGTAACTACAACTCCCAAATGTCAAGGACTATTTCCCCGAAACTCCATCTGTGTTCACATTTGGGCATATGGAATATTCATACCAAGTTTGGTCTAGATCCATCATTGTTTGAGTCCACAGTGCTCTCTGGAAGTAGGTGAACTACAACTCCCAAACTCAAGATCAGAGTCCACCAAACCCTTCTAGCATTTTCTATTGGTCATGGGAGTTCTGTGTGCCACGTTTGGTTCAATTTCATCATTGGTGGAGTTCAGAATGCTCTTTGATTGTAGGTGAACTATAAATCCCAGCAACTACAACTCCCAAATGACAAAATCAATTTTTTTGAGTGATGGTCACTCCTTGGGTTAGTAGGTGTCTTGTGGCCAAATTCGGCGGCAATTTGTCCAGTGGTTTTTGAGTTATGTTAATCCCACAAACGAACATTACATTTTTATTTATATAGATTATTATTATATTACTCTCTAGACTTGGAAGGGTCTGGTTCACGGCCTCATCTTCCTCCCCTGCTTTCTTCCTCTCCTTTGCTTTTTACCCAGAGTATCTATGAGCCGGGGAAGCGGCACTGGCTGAAAGTGAAGAAGGACTACCTGAACGAAGGCGCCATGGCCGATACCGCCGACCTGGTGGTCCTGGGGGCCTTCTACGGACAAGGCAGCAAAGGTATATATGATATACGACATCGGTCATATATAAGACTGAACGTCAACCAAGGGCGTGATGCTGTGGCGGGAAAAGGCCCCGTGTCATTCTAAGCTGCATCCATAAGGGTCTACTGTCTGAACTGAGGGATGGATGGATGGATGGATGGATGGATGGATGGATGGATGGATAGATAGATAGATAATATGCTAATAATATAATATAATGTAATATAACTTTCCAATCGTGGTCAACTGTGAATACGCACATATGGTAGTTTCTGCTAATAATATAATATAATGTAATATAACATATTGTATATACATATATACATAATACTAATAATAATAATATGATATTATAATTACTGTATATACTCGAGTAGAAGCCTAGTTTTTCAGCCCTCTTTTTAGGCTGAAAAAGCTCCCCTCGGCTTATACTCGAATCAAGGTTATTTATTATTTTATTCTGTTATTAGTATTATTTTTATTTCACGTATTATTTTACTTTATTATTATTATGTTTACAGTATTTTACCATATTACATTTGTTATACTTTATTATTATTGCATTTATTATTTTACTCTATTGTTACATTTATTATTTTGCTCTATTATTACTGTTATTATTGCATTTCCATTATTTTACTTTATTATTATTATTATTACATTTATTATTTTATTCTCTTTATTATTGTCAGAAGGATGTGTAAGTATATTTACGCTGAAGAAGGTTATAATAATGATTTAATCAGAGTTGGGCAGTCTTATCTCAAATTACAGTTTTATGTAAATATTCAAAAACATTTCACCTCCTGATGCCTCAATTAATGTAATTTTATTGGTATCTATTTTTATTTTGAAATTTACCTGTAGTGGCTGCATTTCCCACCCTCGGCTTATACTCGAGTCAATATGTTTTCCCGGTTTTTTGTGGTAAAATTAGGTGCCTAGGCTTATATTCGGGTCGGCTTATACTTTATTTATTTATTTATTTATTTATTTATTTGATACACTTGTATACCGCTAATATCTCAGCCTAGAACGGCGACTCATTGCGGTTTACAGCACAGGAATGGACCTAGGCCTGTGCCAGGCAGCAGAGAGAGGAGGAGAAGGAGGAGGAGAAGAAAGGAGAAGGAGGAGAGGGGGAGAGGGGGAGGGAGGGGAAAGGAAGGGAGGAGAGAGGGAAGGAAAGAAGGAGAAGAGAAGGAGGAAGGAGGAAGAGGAAAAAGGAGAGGAGAAGAGAGGGAAGGAGAAGGGAAGAGGGAAGGAGAGAGGGAGGAGGGAAGGAAGGAAGGAGAGGAGGAAGGAAAAGAGAAGAAGAAGAGGAGGAGGGAAGAGGAAGGAAGGGAGAAGAGGGGAGAGGAGAAGGAGGGAGGGGGGAGAGCAGAACGCGTCCTCTGCTA